TTCCAGGGGTCCTGGGGCCCTTGCTATCCTAGGATACTCAGGATCTTAGTTTGCACATCCTACCTGTTATTTTTTAGTTTCACCCTAGAAAAAAAGTGATCCAAGTAGCAGGACACATTTTCGTAACATTACCGCATACCTGCAGTGTATTCTGACTTAGTGAACCGTGGCGCTTGATCATTAATATCCTCCAGAAAGATCCGGACTTCCTGAAGTGTGAGGTCTGCACTGAGGTCCCAGGCCTGGAACTGGCCTGGCCTGTGGCCTCTGGGTGGTGTCCAGTTTCTGTTGCTGGAAGCTTTGACAATGATAGAGTGGTAGGGCTCCTTCTCTCGATCCAAGTCTTTCATCACTTGCAGCTTCCCTTCCCGGCTTAGCTGGAAATTGTTCTCCCTGTTGCCAGCTGGAAAGGTTGAATTGTATCCAAGTGAGTCTTATCTTTGCCCTAAAGCTTCTCACCTAGATTTGGACTTCTGGGTTCATATATGGAAGGAGAGTACAAGCAGGCACAGAAATCCAGTGCAGGCCCTCTCCCAGTCTTTTCCTATCCAGATACCCCTCCCCAGGAGTTGTACTAGGGCCTGGTGGCAGAGTGGTTACAGAATCTCACAAATGCTCCACAGATATAAGTTTTAGCCTTCCTTTGGTCTTTGCCAAATGTCACCACAGCTCTAAATGGGTTTGGCATTTGGGCTGGAGAGTCCCTGGTGTGTCATTGCTGTACTCTAACCAAGCTTATCCAATGGAGTGTGGGTGAGCCTCTGATCTGCTTGCCAGATGACAGGAGGCGGATGCTGCTCGCTGGGACCAGCACTGAAGCCAGTAAGCCTGGCTTTGAAACTTGAAACATTTAGAAACTTTTGAAACATTTTGAATTCCCTTGTTTCATTTTGAAGCTGTTTTGAAGGCTTTTGTCTCATTTCAGTTTCGCTGTTTTGAGCTCAAACCACATCAAAACAGCTTCAAAATGAAATGCTGGGCAAAATTTTGCACAGCCCTAGGGTGTATTACAGAAACTCCAGGAACACATTATATAAAGAAGGCACCTGACTCTATACATTTACATTTATTTCATGATACATTCTCAGTATGATACATTCCCACCCCAAACAGCTCACAAAACATACTGAGTTTTCTCTTATAGGATGCATGACACTCGGGACCTCTCAGCCTTGTAATATCAGCATGTATTGCTTCAAAATTAACTTAAACCAAAAATAGAGCAGGAATGTAACCTCCTCTCCCTGAAGAGACCTAGGGGGAGGGAAGCCACCCTACCTGCTATGAAATAGTAGACAATAGCATTGGATCCCTCGTCTGCATCTACAGCACCAGTGACATTCCCTACAATGGTTCCAGGATGGGAGTGTTCAGGAACAGAGAGTGCTTGGTACTGGGGGTGACCTTTCTGCAAAAGGGACCAAGAGAGAAGAGAAGGGATGTTACAGAAAAAGGTACAGTGTAATACCAATAAAAGCTGAGACAGAACAATCTCATGGATAAGAGACTTTTTCTTCCTCTTTGCTTTAACGTGTGAACATTAGACATGCACACATAAAACCCTCATTAGAGTAAACATCATTGACCAGTGCAATTCCCAGAGTGCAGTGAGGACGACTCAGGGTAGGCCAGATGAAAATTTGTTTCTGTGGGTAGTTCTCACCTCACATTAGCTGTCTGCTGTCTCATGAACTCCAGTATACCCTAGGATCTAATATTCCATCTCTCTGCCCCTACCTCTGCCCCATGAAAGTGGGAGGGATGGCTCTGCTTACAGGTGGTCTCATGAAGAGGGGTTCATTGTCATCAATGTCATCCAGCATCACCTGGAGAGGCTGCATGGTCTCATACGGTGGCTGACCCTGGTCACAAGCCACAATGATAAGCTACAGAAGAAACATCAACACAGTTTTGGTCACATAGCTGCCTTTCAAAAGCAAGGGTCAACAGTCTGCAAAACACAAGCAAATGGGGCACTACCACAAGCTAACACAAGGAAAGACATCATGTCCTTTGGGTAGGGAATATCAAGTGAAGGAGAATGGTGACCTTTTGCCATGGAACAGCCAAACAGCACTGGCCAATGCATAACTAGCATGTTCCCCCCACAGCAGTCAGGCTGCTGACTCCTCACTGTTAGTGCATTTGGTACAAGGGCAGTTTGTGCCTAGCAACCTGGGTTGAGCTGCAGGCCTAAAATTGCCCCAGGCTGTACTCTCACCATTTAACCCTTCCCTCCCCTCACTGAGATATATATATTCCAACAGGTAGCTGATTGTCTCTGGGTCAGATCATTTCTTAAAGGAAAGTGATGATGTCAAACCTAATCCAGACTACATTTAAGGAGGAGCAGGGAGGTGACTTGGAAGTGGTGCACTAACAGACTGAAGAAACAATTCCTCATTCACACTCACAATGTTTATCGTGTCCTCCTATTTATTTTTATTACTCATGTGTAAGGTCTTAACCTTGGATATAGGAGATGGACAGAGATGGAGCCAAAAACAGTGGAATGAAACACGAGGCAGAGCTTGTATACTCCACTCTGTGAAGATGTTTTGATCTTCATCTGCTAATTCCCTGAGCTATTCTAGTCCTGTCCCCACCAACAGCACTGCCAACATCACTGTGGCCTGTGGTTCTAGACCTGGGCTTCTCAACCAAGATGTCGCAATGCCAGAGCTGACAGGGATGGACAACCTCCCTTGCAGTTCCAGACAAACAGTCACATGCACTAACCCCACGTCACCATCTTCTTTCCTTTTTTAGACTTACATTATAGATGGCTTGTGTCTCTCGGTCTAGCCTCTTTGCTGTCTGGATGAGTCCACTGGTGGGGTCAATGGTGAAATACTCCCAGTCTTTATTCCCGGCTCCTGTTTTTAGTAGATTGTACAGCACAGCTCCATGGAGACCCTCATCCTTATCTGTGGCATAGACTTCATACACATTGGACCGCAGAGGTATTTCCTGTCATCCACAAAGAAAACATCAGGGCAGGGATTTTGGGGATAGAGCTATGTGCATGCCTAGGGGAAACACAAACCTCTAAATCATTGAACCCCCAAACTCTGAAGACCTAAATAATGTACACAAGTACACACACATTTCTTCCCTTCCTGCAGGGAAGTTCTTCATAGGAGACTTGTAAGCTCCTTGTAGCATCCATAAACAGTTCAAGAAAGTTGTAGCTAATGTAGAAATTGAATGTTAAAACATGATCCAGAAACTAGTATTGGCTTAAACCTAACCAGTGACACTTGTCCACATTTCCACTGTACAGTAGCAGTTGCAAATGATGCTCCTAATTTGTTTGTCTTTTTGCTTTAACCCCTTTAGGAGGCCCTGTAATGGGAATAGGTCTCATCGGGCTAATGCAATATTTTTCCCATTATTTCCAGAAAAGGTATTTAGAGAAAGGAGGAAACCAGTCTTAGGAAAAGGCTGCACTCTTCATTTAGTCCAAAAGCAAATGTTAGTCCCAAACAGTGGAACCTCTTGAGTGGGAGGAGGAAATATCTCACTCCTGACAGCCCCTCTGGTTATGGTGAAGGAGAATGCCTGACTGGGAGTGTGTGGTGAGGGGTTAGATAATGAGGAATAGATCCTTTGGCAGGGGGCCACCCCCAGAGCATTGTCTTACAGCCTGAGTAGGGAATGGCATCCTGGCTCCCTGTTCATTCCTCTACCTACTTTGCAAAACAATGACTTTCTAACATCCCTACCAGAGACACCACCGGCATAATCACAGCCAGGCTCTGACTAACCAGAACTGTGGAGAACATCTGTATAACCCATGTATGCTGTATGGTGATTAGCCTGTGGGGGTTATACTGGAGAAGGGTGGGGGGACCCCCTTCCCCTCTTGTTGCCCATTCTGTGTCTATACTAGCCAGACCAGAGAGTGAGATGCCTGATCAGAATGTCAGCCAAACCAAGGCCATGCGTAACTTCTGGACTCCTTTTTGGAAACCTGGCCTCTGATGTGACACCACTGTCCAAGCCAGAGGTGCCACAGTTAATTCCCTTCTCTGGTACAAGATCCTCTGCCCAACAACACAAGGGTTGGTCTCATCAGTCCAGACAGCTGGGCAGTTGTACCGTGTTAGTAGGTGGCATTCTGCCCAGGATTTACCTCTTTAATATGCAGGATGGTGCCATTGGGTGGCCGGACAAACACCGGCCGGTTATCATTAATGTCAATGACTTCCACTTGGAGCATGGTGGTCCCCCAGAGAGGGGGCTTGCCTTTGTCTGTGGCCACCACCGTCAGGTTGAACCTCTCGTAAGACTGCAGGCGTCTGCAGGTTGTGATGAGCCCAGAGTCCTTACCGATCTTGAAAGCCTCTGGGAACAGAACAGACACATCCCTCACTCTGGTCACTAAGCATTAAATAGATTTTCATAAATTATTCTATGGTATGAGCCAGAAGCCACGTTAGGGGAAGGGCACAGCCATATTCTGACAGTTGGTTGAGCACACAATAATTCACTACTTGGCAATGACTGGCTGCATCCCCACCATCATATCAAGACACTAAATTTGAATTGCTTTCAGATCTTGGGCCAGGAATGACCAGGTCCTGTATTACCAGGCCATATGCTCAGAAGGGCCAGTAGAATACCAGAACTCCGGGGAATTCTTTCAAGCTGCACAAGGCTGTGTCTAACTGTGGCAAGAGAATGAAAGCTTTCAGTCTCTCTGATGGTGGGCTGAATTTGGAGTGAGCTCCCAGGTTTGAGAGAAGTGGACTTTTGCTCCATTTTAAGCCATGTTTGCTGGCTTTGGCCTTGTGCCTACCAACTCTTTGTGTGAATGAATGCTTTGGAATTTGTGCTTTGCCACTATCCACCTCAGAAAGTGCCTCACCTCCCTCTCTGTCTCCAGGCTTTCCTGGCTTTTATTTGTGTGAATGCATGAGCAGAATGCAGTGACCTTCTCCGGGACATAGCTTATATTTATGTAACTAGGAAGCCTGGGAAGTGGCAGCTTTGGGTGTGGTGAACAAGAGAGAAACCAGAGACTGAGCAGCAGGGAGAAAAGTCTGCAAGCCTGAAATGTAGGACCTTGAAGATAGCAGAAAGTGCTATGGTGTAGAATTAAAAATGTGCATTTACCCTGTATGCACGTGTGTTTGTGCACATGCCTGTGTGTTCATGTGGACAATCTATTATGATGTGAAATGAAAAAAAGTGATTTGGTCTATGTAGTCCTCAGATTTCATCTCAGTGTTCCTATGTTTTCCCAGTCACTGCAGAGATATTCCCCATGCCTCTAGCATTCTCTGAATGTCTGGATTAGGTACCATGGCTGCCTACCCACTCCAGGCCCCTCGATGCTGTAGGTTACCACTCCATTGTCACCCTCATCAAGGTCCATGGCTGTCATTGTGATCACAGATGTCCCCGCTGGCTCATTTTCATACACGCTGGTGCTGAATTGGCTCTTAGAGAACTGGGGCCTGAAGTCATTGATGTCGAGAACTGTAATCAGCACCTTGAACAAAAGCAAACTAGGATATCACTAAATGCAGAGATGACCCCTCGGGGGCTGGGAAATGATATGGCTGAAATGACCCTATAAGACAATTTGGTCCACTACCATAATGGAGCTGCTAATGCTCGACTTCCAAAAATTGCACCCTGTCTCTTCCATGACTGGGTTAAGACAGATCAGGAATTAAGAAGTGCCTATGTGGTGACAGGCTGGGGAGCTCAGGGTGTGTATTGGGGAATGTATCTGGGAGCTAGAGGACTGAAGAGAAATAAGGGTCTGCCTGTGCCCATTGAACTCAAAAATAATCTTTTTTTCAATTCATTACAAACAAATCCTACTTCTTGTCTATCACGGAGGGCCAAAGCAGGTGATGGGGATATAAGTCAGCAAGCATGAGGCTGACAGCAAGGAACCCAGAAAACAACATAAGGTGCTGTCAGTACAACAAAATGGAAAATCCCACCTAGAGAAGCCCCATGTAAGCATGATTTATACCAGAAGCAATCAACAGAAAGGGACAGCTGACCACACTATATAGCAACATATAAACTCTATAGGCCTTTTTCCTCTTAGTCCCATATGCTCAGAAGTTACTGGAGTTTCTAGGAGGTTTCAAAATACATGTTGCAGTAACTTGAAAAGCGACACTGTCATAGAGGGCGTACGATACAGTCATTTATCATAGCTGAATTAATAGGGTTTGTCTGGGAACTACATTGTAACTTTTTTCAAATGCCACATTCTCCCTTTCTGGTATGAAATACCAGTTAACTTGGTCTCAGGGAATATCATCTTGGACTTCCACAACTTTCTTGTAGGCTTTCCCTCTTTTACGCTACTTCACGCACACTTCTTTCTCCCTTGGGTTTTTCCAATATTTCTCTTATTTTCTTGCTCTCATTTTCTCTTTCTGAGTTCTTTTTCTGCCCCTTCTTTCTTGACCTCACATAGTCTCTCTTATTGATTTTATCATTCTCTTGCTAACTCTTCTTACACTCTGAGGAATACAAATGCCTGTCTCCTGCCACAAGAAGGCATACAAACCTATGAAGTAAAAACAGGAGGGTATGAAGTTATGTCTTAACCTCCCCCTCCACCCAGCCCACTCCCCAGCCCGGAACTGTGGTTTGGCACCTGAACAGAATTCTCTCGACGGTTACTAGGAATGTCCCCAGGGTTGTCCTTGGCTACGGCAGTCAGCGTATAGTGATCCTTCTTTTCTCGATCAAGGGTTGACAGGATGTAGATATCGCCCTGAAATATCCAGAGACTTTCAGGAAGTTTTTGGCTGTCTGCAGGCTATTTCCATAGTGAATGTGATTGCTGACCTTCAGCAATACTCATTTAGATCAAACAATTAGTGTAACAGAAATAAGAGGATCATAGTAAGAAAGGGGAGACTCCCCTTCTTGAGGCTTGACTTGAAAAGGGAAAAGGAAGATTTCATGGGTCCTCTACACCCCAAATTTCTCATGTGAAACATTATCAGGTTTGGACCCTGGAGGGCATTCTTTTGGCAGCAGGCCACTCCCATGTTAAGGTGGGCAAGAGGCTGGTCACTCCTGTTCCCACAACCTTCATGTATTTGCAGTGCTGCTCCAGCCTCAGTTTGTCTCTTACCGTGTTGGGATTTATTCCAAATTTGCCCTCTCCATCTCCCAGGCTGTACTCAATGAGGGCAAAGCGCCCGGAGTCAGCATCAGTGGCTTTAACCCTAAGGATAACTGTGCCCAATGGGACATCTTCAAAGACAGCTTTCTGCAGGTGTGGAAAGGAGAGAAAAGTCCAGAAAGTAGGTGATAGTTTGAGTCAGCAGTAAGACCAACAAAATATTCAGAACAGCCACATTTGGAAGACAAATTAGTACTGGGAAGGAGTGGTCTCTGCTCATTTTAAATGGGGGACTGTTGGTCTGAGGTATGGAGTGAGATCTTAAACCCTCTCCATACTTTAATCAACAGATTCTTCAAAATTTAAGATTTTATAAACAATAACAACAGCAACAAAATTCTGCCAAGCCAAGCCAAGCCAAGCCAAGCCAAGCCAAATGAAACCAACCTCCCCAAACCCTTCAAAATCCTGTAAACAATGAACCCTTCAGGATGGAGAAAAACTTCTCAAATTGGATTCAGTACAGCACTCATTCATCCTAAGGCTGACACATGAACAACTGGTGCCTTCTGAGACATGGGGGGGCACCATTTGTAGGCGCCAGTGTCACTGATGAGTGGAGACCACCTGCAGATGCTGGCACTGAAGGGGGTGATAAGCAGGGACTGCCCACAGATGACGGTGGTGGGGAGCAGCAACTGGGGACCACCTGCAGTTGCCGGTGATGGCATTGCGGGAGGGTGGTGAGCAGGGACCGCCCACAGATGCTGGTGGCGGCAAGTGGTAAGTGGCAAATGCCCACAGACACCAGCAGCAGCAAGGGAAAAGGGGAGATGAACAGCAAGCAGGGAGAGCCCACAGATGCTGGCTGCGGCATCAGCGGCAAGGGGGGGTGGGTGGCGAGTGACAACCACCTGCAGAAGCCAGCAATGGAGTCAGCCAATCTCAGGTGGGGCACATTCCCCCCTTACAAGTTGCCTATGGGCTAAAGATAACAAACTGAAATAGCTGTCCTAACACAAAATGGTGTTATGCACTCATCAGAGTATTAGGTCTGGAAACTAAGGATGACAAAATAGATATCCACAGTATTAAATATTTTTCTGCTTACCTTTTAGCAGTTAACATTCATTTAATCCACATCTTGGTAAAATATTCATGGCCAGATTTTCATTTAAGATAAGACCCTTTAAGAAATGTCAGGTCAAAAGCTTTGCCCCTAATTTTATGGAAGCATTTTGTTCTCCTCATTATATAGCTCTCATAAGATTGTAGCTTGTGCACATAATACCCCACACAACTTTTTGGCCAATGAGACAGTTATTTGAAACCCTTTGAATACTGATTGATAGAGGAACCAATGTGCCCTTCTAATATGCATTCTGCAACAGGGGCCAAGTATAGGCCTGTCTCTTCCTCTGATGTCTTCTCACAATATACATGCATTCTTATCACTAAACTCAGTTCACCTGGTAAGATGGCTGGCTGAAGATAGGATTATTGTCATTGATATCCACAATCTGGAGATATACGGGGATCTCAGATGACCTCCGAGGAGAACCATTGTCTGAGGCTCGGACAGTGAAGTTCAGCCATTGCACTTCCTCATAGTCCACTGTCCTGCTTGCAACAACCTTCCCTAGAAGATAGCAGAATTGCAAATGAGAAACACTTGAATCTGATGATTCTCACAACACAGGACACACATCATTGACTGTGACTTCCTGTCTATGGTGTCCCTTAGATTGCCAGAAATGAGAGAGAGACCACACCCAGAGTTCTTCCTATACGAGAAATAAAGAAAAAAACTGTTGAATGGGTTCTACTACTTGAGACAGTCCAAGGCTGAGGATCAAAGATATATCCACTGGGACGAGCCTCAACAAGTCTGATATAAACCCTCTGAATAATGTTGGTTTAAGCTGCTTAGCATAAGCCTGGTACTTGGGAGTGGTGTAAGTGTTCTGCTTATTCATTCTGGATGATGAGGAGATTGTTTTGACCACCCCTGACATGTCCTCAATGACTTGATATGGCTAAGCATGTAATATTCTGAATAAACCTTTCAGCATGTGACCCAAGGTGCCATTAAACATAAAGGTGGCTGTGGTTCTGACCCTCTCTGACTCAGGCTGTGCATAGGTTGCTAACAAACTGTGCCTCACTTCAGCCCCTGGATCCACCCCTCTCACCATGATCTCAGCGATGTGAGTTAGGAACACAGGCATGAGAAGAGGGACATGCAAGTCTCCTGCCTACCTGCTGAGGGATCCTCAAGCCGGGCATACCCCTCTGGTGAAAGGTTCAGGAGCTCATAGGTGATCTGTCCATTGGGACCTTTGTCTGGATCCACTGCTGACACAGAAATCAAGGTAGTCCCTGGTGTGGCCCCTTCCAGGATCCTCTCAGTAAAATAGGTGGTCCCAAAAGGACGAAATCGGGGTGTATTGTCATTGACGTCTAGCACATTCACTGTTAGCTTTGCTGTTTGAGAGAGAGGGCGTGGGAGGCAGAGTTGGAGGGTGATACCCAGTGGGTGGAGAGAAGATGAAAGAAACAGGATGAAAAAACAAATGGGGAGGACTATGTGCACCAGAGGAGCTTTGCCTGAGAACATACTGCTTCCTTTACATAGGACCTCATGATGAGTCCTGGAAACCAGATCTTGAGCCAGAAAAGGCCAGGGTACTCACCAGTTTGCCCCCAACCCTGAATTATCACCCTGGAATGCAAGCTGGGTTGGCTTGCTTTGAAGCAGACATTCTCTTACCGTTTGGCACACTGACTGAGCGGTCAATTAAGTCACTGGCATTATCATGGACAGATATGGTGACTTCATAAGTGGCCACCAGCTCCCTGTTTAGAGCGGAGTTAACCTTCACAGCTCCTGTACAGCAGAAGAAGAGAAAAAAATATCACATAGAGAGATTATAAATCTAGAGAGAACTTGCCTAACTTCCCCATGCAGGGGGAGATATTGTGTACCTGGCCTTGGAAAACCTCTGTTACCCATAGCCCCCTCTATGTCTGCATGGACTCCTGTCTTTTCTTAAACTATTTAGGCAAAAAAAAAAGCGGGGGGGGGGAACAAAGGCAAAAATATGGGCTCACTTGCTGCCCGAAGTACACCTGCCCTCAAGCCTCTGCACTTTCTCTGCATGCAGCTGCATGGACATCAGATTGCTTCAGCAATTGTGTGAATTGAATTGTTTGGGCAGGGGTGAATTTTGAACATTTGTGTCCTGATTATTTGTGAATGTAATTTGTGTAGCTCCAGTAGAGTTACCAGACTTATCCTCACTCTTGCTGGCTGAGGATCTGGCCCTTATTTCATTAGACTTCCATGACTCTTGAGCCTGTTTCCTATGGGTCAGCTTTATTCTTCCAAAGTACATGAGCTACATCAATCTTGTGTTTTCACAGCACAGGTCTCACAAGCAGGCAAGACATGTGGAACCTGGGAATGAAGTCACAGGGCATGATGGGATTCTTAATTATCCTTTCTCCGCATATGAAAACCCATTGAACAAGAGACGGCTTACCCTAGAAGGCCTCCCCCTCCCGCTCCCCACCAGCAAAGTTCTGCTGAGGGGATGTCTGCATTCAGTCTGCAAAGGCTAAACAACAACCAAATGGCATGTGTCAGTGCTGCTCCCTCACAGAGAGACAGAGCTGAGCACCCAAGCAGCAATGACAGTGATCATGGTTATGGGTGAGATGGAAGAGAGATGATCAATGGAGCAGAGAGAGGACTGGCTGAAAGTTGCACAGAAACAGAGAGAGCAAACCTTCCAGGCTGACAGCCGTAAGGAAAGAAAAAATAGTTAGTTAGTTAGCAGAAAGGCACTGTCAAAGTGTGGGCAAGGAAAGACAACAAGGTAAACAAAAAGAGAAGAAAGGAGTAACTGCCAGAAAGGGTGGCAAAAGCAAAAGAGAAAAGGAAAGATATAGAACCAGGGAAGGAGAGAGAGAGACAGAGACAGAGAGTATACTGGAACTGAAAGAAGTAGAAGAGGGAAAAGAGGCACAGGCATTCACAGAGTTCCTCCTGTTCTTGTACCTGTTCTAAAGTCCACAACAAATGCTCCCTGCTGGTCCAGCACTAGAGCATTGGTGTCATCCTTAGCCAGAATTTCAATGAGATAATATTCCAGCCGGGGGTTGAGATCTCTGTCTATTGCCGTGACCTCAGCAATGATAGTGCCAGGCTCTATTGACTCCGGCACACTGACTGTCTGGATTGGGTTGATGAACTCTGGCCGACAATCATTGACATCATCAATGAGGATGTTGACAGTAGCTGTGCCAGAGAGAGGGGGTGTGCCTCGATCCACAGCCACCAAAGTCATTCGGTAGGTGTCCTTCTCTTCCCTGTCTATGGTGATGTTGGCCACCTGGATCACTCCAGTGTCGACATTGATCAGAAACTTGTCCTGAGCTCCACTCTCAATCCGATAGCTCAGCTGTTGGTTGAGGCCACTGTCTGCATCTGTAGCTGTTACCTGGAGGACAGAAAAACCTGTGGGGGGGGGAAAGGGGGGTGGAGAGGGAGAAGGAAGGGACCCAAACTCTGGTATTAGACTCCTTTGCATTCAGCTGGTCATCCCAGCCAAATAACTGCTGTATTGCAGCAATCCAGCGGTTTGTCTAGTGCAGCCTCCTGTTCCTGAAAGTGCCAGCACTGCACACTACATCTAGAACTGTGGAACTTCAAACTAGTTGTGTAACACTGAGCCAGGTAGACAAATTTCCTCCTCTTACTGGAAAATGATATTTAGAGGTTTGCTTTTGGGAACTGGCTTGTAGGTAAAGCAGATTGACTTGTATTAGTCGATGTTTAGGATTGGGAATCCAGAAAAAAAGATGACAAAGCTGATATGGAAATACAAAGCGCCCGAGCGACGGACTAACAACAGAGGGATGCGGGAGAGGAGGGGAACGTGACTAGGTTACAGGCGATACTACTGCATTAGAACAATGGTCCAGGGGAATGGCAAGGGTTAATTGGTTTCTAAAAGCCTGTTTGTGACAGTTTCCTTCAAGGCCCACTGTGTCTGAAGTCAGCAGACATACAAGCTGGGAAACTGAAGACATGTACTGCACTGTTCCATAGCACGAGATAAGGTGGCATTAGGTAACAGTACCCAACTGCAGATCCTTGGGATTTCTGGCTTTGGTGGACAGACTAAATCAGGAGGCTGGCAAATAACCAAATTAAGATGTGTGCATGTGATGGGTTTGTTGGAACAAAGGGATGTGCTGACAGGACAGAATGTGGATAGTATGATGACCACAGGGAAATCAATCAATGATGCCTGGGAGTGAAGAGTCATCAGAGGGGAGAAAGAATACAAAAGGAGGGGGAACCCAAGGCCACCATGGACAGAGGGCACACCACCAGCCCATCTCACCCACACCACTGAGGGTGGGGATGGGCCTTGGCCTTCGACCTCGAGGTTGCTGATATCTGATACTCAAGAGAGAACCTCAGGGTAAAGCTTGTGTACTGGCTAGATCTACCTTCCCTCTGTGACAGCCTTAGGACTGGTAGATATAGAATTGTTTGCATTATTCTTAACTGCTATCACTGTGTATCAATAAAAAATTGCCTATTATCGATTGGACAGGTGATGGTCAGTCTGAGGATTTGGATGAACCAAGAACAAGGTATCTAGGTCATAAATCCAGTGCCAACACTTTCAAGCTATCACCCTTAACCATGAGGAGCACCAAACATACAGACAAAATGCATTGGAGGCAGCCAAGAAAAGAACAAAAGGCCCTGATAAAATAAAACCATTGACTTCTAACTCATTTACCAGGTATCAGAGTAAAATGGAAAGGGAAAAATCACCACTTGCTGGTGTAATTTGAACAAGAGAAAAACAAGAAAACTTCGTTAAAACTAATAGGTAAACTCCCCTTCAGGCTCTAGCATGTAATGGTCAGCAAAAACTGTGTAATACAGTTGCATTCATAAGACAGTATCAAACTGATCCGTAAAATTTGTATGTCTTATGTATGCACTGATGAATGTGTACATTCGCTACGTGTTAACTACATAATGAAAGGATATCAATTTTCAGCAATGAGGAAAGTTACATCAATTGCCCCATTTTGCATGATGCTATCATGTCAACAGTGATATCAGCAGTCTTGATTCTGGATGTATAAATCAGATCATGCACAACACAAATATTATACACTTATTGCATGGAAAAAAAGCTACTCTAGAATGGGACTGGAGTTAACTGGTACTCTGGTAGCTCAGCTTCTTCTTGGAATTCTAGATTTTCATCCAGTGATTTCTTCCCCCCATGTGAAAACTGTCTTGGCATTATTGGGGAATCTTCAAAAGAAACCCCCAGCTCCCCATGCACTCCCTTTAGCCAAATTTCCATTCCCTCACAGGTTAAAATTATCAAAAATAGGGAAAGAGAGGAGTAGCAGAATAAGATACAAAGAAACAGTTCTTCCTAGCCCATGGCTGGTTTCCAGTCCAGTCCCTGTCTCCCTCTCTGCCCCATCTCCCCCTCACATTCTGGAATCCATCTGACCTGGGGGGCTGTTTTCCTTCAGTCGCACAGTCATCACTGCCGGGTTAAAAATCGGTCTGTTGTCATTATCATCCAGGATGGTCACAATAAGCCTAGCTGTACTGTTTAGCTTCCCAATATCTGATGCCACCAGCATGAACTCCAGGCTTGGGTTCAAAAAGGCTTCACGGTCAATCACTCTGCCTGGCTTCACCAAAATGACACCTGGAGGATATTAAAAGTCAACCAGGTAAATACAAGATGATGTTTTGAGAAAGGGTGGATTTAAGTGCACTTGGACAGCTTTTAAATGCTGCCCAGAGTACATCCCTGCAGTATGTGTTTCCCATTAGCAGAATGGAAAAGCACAGAAAATTGTACCCAAATCTTCCATCTTTTGTGGAATGAAGGCAAATATACAGTGTCAACAAGCAGGACAACAGCCCCAACATTAATGCTCTTTACTCAGTAATTGGCATGGATGTGAGGCAAGGATAATGTTAAACAGCACCTACAATCCATGCCTTGGAACCAACAAAACTACCCAGCAGCTCTACACCAGAGACAGACAGGAGCCAAGTAATGGTGGTGTGTGCACCCAGCATACCTGTTCTGTTGTTGATAACAAAAAGATCCTCTGTCAGTCCCAGGAGCTGGTAGGTCACCACAGCATTGATGCCCTCATCATTGTCCAGAGCCAGAATTGGCCCATTGAGCACCGTGATGGGAGTTCCTGAATCAAACAAAAGGTGTTAATGACTACTGGCAAGGACTCTATGCAGACCTCCTCCTCCTCACCTTCAACCCCCCTTCACACCCCAGTGACTCATGACCAACAGAAATGAATGAATGTGGCACACAGAGGGAGGCCTCATGAGATAATGAAGGAGTGGCTGTTGCAGCCTTGGCAGACTGAATCAAGAAGCTCATTTGTAGAAGCCGTAAAGCCCTGCTAAGAAAACAAACAAATCCATCAGATGCTTTCAACTAGTCACAGTGACATGAAAGTTACTTCCCAGCATGCTCTGCAGATAACTCCTGCTTAGCTGTACATCATATGTGTGTGTGTGTGTGTGTGTGTGCGCGCGCGCGCACGCATGCGCACACACACATGCATGCACCAAGCCCAGTGTTTATGGAAGTGCCCAAGTCAGGTCAGATAAGGTGCCACCTGTATCCAAGAGTCTTTTAAGGAATTCAGGCTCCAAACCAAAAAATGATACCTGGGCTCTTCAAGTGGCAGCATTTATTTTAAAGGTCTGGAAAAAGAGAAACATTCCTGGCTATTGGGGGCTTGAACTGAGTAGTTATCTGGAATAACCTACAGTGTCCAGACTTTTTATACAACCATTGTCTGAGAGCAGAGAAAATTTCACCAAAATGGGTGACTTTTTCAGCTCCTTTATTCCCTGGACAAAGCATTTGGCTGCTTGCCTTGTCCTGCTCTGTAGCAGACCCAGCTCTCATTTACTCCAGAACAACAACTGCCACCCAATGCTGCCATATTTCATATGGCAGAAGAGCTTCTGGTAATTCAGTTATCACAAAGCAGTTGGCTCCAGTTCAGTAGTTTTGCACTGGAGAACTGCTGGCTTCATGGAGGTGATTAACTTTCTGTGTGGACAGCAATCCCACATAGATGTATAATGTCCAAAAAGGACAGTTTTCTTCTGGGAAAGCAGATGACAAAGACATTACTTTGGTGGGGAAAATACCCACTTTCAGGAATTACAAAAGTAACTTCCTAAATTTTACTAAACTACCCCAGCCTTGTCTCCATACCTATATACCAAGACATGTAATAACACCCACTTGCACATCAGTAACCCTTCTGATTAAGCAAATATATTTCACTACTCAATGACATCATCAACATTTAACTACCTGGATTGACATTATATATGACAGTGGAGGCAGAAGATTTCTCAGTGGTCTTCCCTTCACTTAGCTGGAGGTGACTGGGGCAGACTGGTTAGCAAAGAACACCCACCAACCTAGAAGTGTGCAGTAAAGGAAGAACAGACCCACCTGCTGGGGAGTTCTCCATCACCTCTGCCTGGTAAGAACTCTGAGTGAAAAGTGGCTGGTTATCATTTTCATCTGCTATTGATATCACCAACAGGTCAAAATCCTAAAAGCGTGTGAACAAAACATGGAAAAAGGGCCATGATTGCAAATCCCTTTCTTCAATTTACATTCCATATCAGTGCCTTCTGCATGCTGCCTTATCCAGTTCAGCACCATGGAGAATCTGAGCCTGGTGCAACCATGGAACAGTATTATCAGAATATGCCACGAGTGCAATACTCATCCCGCTGGCTGGACTTCATTTCTAATCTCCATATGATGCCTGCGTCATTGGGACAGAGACATTTCAGATATTCCAGTATCATTCTAGTAATGCAGTTCTGTGGCAGCACATGGCTGGCCCACGTGCGAAAGTACTATTCAATGCCTTCTGGATTTCAGCCTTTGGGGTCTAACTGTAATACTGTCACCATGTTATAGGTCTCAATAGTGTACCTCCATTACAAGGATGTGGTAGTGTTGCCTTTTGCTAGGTCAGCTAGAAGCATGAAAAAAATCACTCCCCCCAGTCAACAGTTATGCCAGTAAAATCCCTGGTGTGAGTCCAGTTATACTGACAGAAGAGGGCTTTTGTCAATGTACCTCATGTCTTCTGGGGAGGTGGCATTGGTAAGTTGGCAAAAAAAATCTGTAATGAAGAAAAATTCCAATACACTTACATACCAACATATTCCAACATGTGGATGGCCACGGACACTGTGCCCTTAAAGGGATATGGTGAAATTACAAAGTGTTTCAATCATTATCTATATGCATTACAGCAAAGAATCAAGGATTGAAGACTACAACATCACACACAAATTGTTTCCACCATATTAAAAAATGATATATAAGAATTCACAACACTGAGGGGCTGCATTCTTTTTTCTAGTAAAACCACAACTACTTCTTTCTCCAGTATTGGAACAGACTGTGCTTTCATTCTGATGCATCTCCGTGTATTTCTGAAAAGCCAGATAACATGGAGTAGTTGCTGTATAATCATTATTGGAGTTAAGGCTCGGAGTAAGACATTTTAAGAAAATTCTAACTTGCTTTAAATATGGCTAGTCTGGATTTTTCTGATTCAGACTGAAAAGAGAAAGGAAGATAGTTGGGTTTGCATCATGTGTGTGTGAATTCTAAAAATTAACTGGGGCTAGGTGTGTTGGAGTGTAGACTGCCAGATTAAATATTTTCTATGAAATTCCACCCTCTCTCTGCCAGTACAAGCAGCTTTTCCCCAACTGTTTTTATGGAAAATCCCAGTGCTGTCTGTAATTACCCGCCTGGCATTGCGTGGGTTCTCAGGGTTGTCCTTTACGGTTATGGTCAGCCTGTACTCAGCCACCCGCTCTCTGTCCAAGGGGCGATTTACATAAATTATGCCCGTCTGGTGAGGAAAAAAGGAAAGAAAAAATAAAATGAAGATGCAGCTAAGATCCCTCCACCCACTATTATTCCAAGGCCACATAGCTCAGATCCACTCTGGGTGATGGATCCAGACAGTGTGGAGTTCCACGTGTGTTCTGCATAGGCCACACTGTCAGGCCACTCGAGCAGTCTCTGAGACTCACATGCCATGCACAGCTGTGCATATAATCTGAACTTTGTTGGAGCTTAAAATAGGCAATATTGTCTGCAGTGAATAGTAGGGAGCATCAGTTTCTCTTGCTGGTGTGCATATCAATGGATAGTATTTACAGTTCCATGCCTACAATATCAGTTAACTTCAAATCATTGCTTATCAGCTTCCTGGCTTTCATAGTTTCATAGTTGGTAGGGTCGGAAGGGACCTGAGCAGATCAAGTCTGACCCCCTGCCCTGGGCAGGAAAGAATGCTGGGGTCAAATGACACCGGCAAGGTGTCTATCTAGCCTCCTTTTGAAGACCCCCAGGGCAGGAGCAAGCACCACTTCCCTTGGAAGTTGGTTCCAGATCCTAGCTGCCCTGACTGTGAAGTAGTGCTTCCTCATATCTAGCCTGAATCTACTCTCCATCAGCTTATGGCGGTTATTCCTAGTTACTCCCAGTAGCGCTTGGGGGAACAGGGACTCTCCCATTGCCTGCTGGTCTACCTTGGCCAGTTTATAGATGGCCACCAGGTCCCCTCTCAGCCTTCTCTTACGGATGCTGAACAGGTTCAGGTCTCATTGCCTCTGCTCATAGAGCCTGCCCTGCTGCCCCGATCATGCAAGTGGCCTTCCTTTGGACCCTCTCAATGTTGTCCACATCCATCCTGAAGTGCGG